ACTCACCAGCAGACCAGTTCATGAAATCACCAAAGTGAAAACTTTAAACTCTTCACTAAGTTATAGTAAATGGAATTGAAAATATATTTCAAGGTATATTCGCAGAAAAGAAGAAATGCTGAAAACTGAAGTCACCTCACATTTTTGTTACTGGAACCAAGAGATTGTAACTTTGTAGAAAGTGAGATCTCTTTTGTTAACCCCAGTTTATGTCCTTAATTTCCATTTAGTTCCTCATTCTGAAATGCATGTGAATACCCATCCATGCTGAGCTATGCTAAGTTATGATAACGCAAAGACTTTGCTTTTAATTTTGAGGGGCTTTGTTTTGTTTGGGTTGTGTTTTGTTTTGTTTTTAAAGTTGAGGCTGTTTGAGTTATGGTTTTTGGTGGGGTTTTTTGTTTGTTTTTTTTTTTTTGAGACTCATGACAGCCTTAAATTTATGTTCCCCCTGCCTCTACCTCCTGGCGTGTTGGGGTTACAGGTGTGTACCACCCATCAAGCTAATAAAAAGATGATTACATGATGTCAGATGCATTTTTCATGTCTTCAGAATCAGTGGCTCCATTGTCTTGAAACAGTATAGGGTCCAGACCTTAGTAGGCAGTATGGTAAGAATCATCTAAAGTTGTGTCGTCATGCCAACCAGTCTGCGTGATCATTTCAGGAAAGCTTCTACTGAGTTGGCATTTCATGTGTATGTTTACATATATGTGGGCACACATGAGGGGGTGCATGAATGTTTGTGGAGGCCAATGGTTGACATCAGGTAGCTTCCCTGATGGCTCTTACTTTATTTACTTAGACAGGGTCTCTCACTGAACCTAGAGCTAACTAGTTTGGCAGATCACTAGCTTTCTAGAGAATGCCAGCTCTGCCTCCCAAGTGCTAAAGTTGCAGGTAGACCACTACGCTTGTCCAGCTTTTATATGAATCCTTAGAATCCAAACTTGAGTCTTCAAGTTTACATGGCAAGTGTTTTATCTATCCAGACAGTTTAGTCTACTTTTCACAGTACCCCCGATAAACATAACAAACAGTTGTATACTGACAGTTTCAATTTGTGATTTTAAGTGTATCAAGCCTATAGTTGCCTTTCAGGAAGTTTTGTCAGATTTTTTTTTTCAGCTTCTAAATTCTGTAACTCCAAAACCTTCCTGGTTTCTCAGAATCAATTCTTCTTTTAGTGATGATCTATATGAGTGACTGTCTTAGTTAGATTTCCTATTACTGTAAAGAGACACCATGACACAGCAACTCTTTTTTTTTTTCTGCAGATTTTTTTATTTGAATTAGAAACAAGATTGTTTTACATGACAATCCCAGTTCCCTCTCCCTCCCCTCCTCCTGTACCACCCCTCCCCTCCCAGCTAAAATCCTACCTATCACATATCCTTTCTGCTCCCCCGGGATAGTAAGGCCTTCCATAGGGTGTCATCAGAGTCTGTCATATCGACCACAGCAACTCTTAAAAAGGGAAACATTCATTGTGATGGCTTGCTTACAATTCAGAGGTTTAGACCATTATTGTCATGGTGGGAAGCAAGGCAGCATGAAGGCAGACATGATGCTAGAGAAGGAACTGAGAGTTCTTACATCTTGATTCCCAGGCAACCGGAAATAGTCTGAGACATTAGGTGTGGCTTGAGCATATATGAGACCTCAAAGCCCACCTCCACAGTCACATACTTCCTCCAACAAGTCCATACCTTCTTCAACAAATCCAGACCTCCTAATGGTGCCACTCCCTTTGGGGGCCATTTTCTTTCAAACCACCACAGTGACCATCACTTGGGTCTGTTACGCTCACTATCATTGTAACAGAGGCAAAGTAGCTACATACACTCAGGGCCACAGAAGTGACTTGAAGCTGGCCAGGGTGAGCAGGTGTTCCCCAGGGATCTTTGCAAAGATCACTTAGCAGAGCTCTCTTTGTGGAACAGGAATAGATGAGTGGCTCTCTTAGCCTGACAACTAGCCAGCCGAGTTCTTCCAAACCCTACCCTAGACATAGGTGTTATCTGGCTATACCAAATCAGAGGAACATGAACATCAAATGCTCTTTTCTTCCTCTGTGGTTACATCCAGATAAACTCACCATAAGTTGAAAACAATATAAATTGTTAACATATTAATTCTATGAACACTATCAAACTGTAGAGTCTTGGTTCTTTCCCCTTGTGGTAACATCACTGCTCATAGTTGTATCACAGGCCCAGGGAAAGATCCAAATTCAACATTTCATGCGCAGCTTCTCCTGAGTGCATACTGCTGTCACACCACCATTAAACTCAAACCCTGAAGTCAAACACCCATCATAAAAGGACTGTCTGTGAATTCATTCCTGGCCCCAGAAGTATTGTGAGCCTCTCAGCTCCAACAAGCCAAGTGTGAAGAAAAGTCTGACTCCTTGGTTCCCCCAAATGTTTTAAAAAATAAAATAGTTATGCCAGTAAAATTGTCATTTTAAATCAATTTCCTAATTTAAGGTAGAGAGACATAGACTTGCAAGGCTATTCTGCCAACCTATTTCAGATCAGTGGTTGTATTGGCATCACTGTGTGCTGGTGTATCTCACCCTTGCAGAAGTGCGGGAGACAGCATGTAAGTGTGCAATGGGCATGTCCCCAGAAATGAAAGCCCCTCTTTTCAAAAGACAGCCCTTCATCCTATGGTACAGGCCACCAAGAGTACCACCCACTGCAAGGCCTCTGCTGCACAATCTGTGCAGTGTAGATTCAAACAAGTAACAAATACTGATCTGGGGCATATTTTATAAAATGGGTCAAAATAATCTTTGTTTGCCTTTATTTCCTGGTCTTCAGCAAATGTCATCCTAGAGTATGGCACAGAGACCCACCTCTGTGGTTGCTGTCTGTTCCCACCAGCTTCTTAATGACAAAAACACTTCTGGGTTATGTGTAGTTTTGCTGTCCGTGTGTTTTTGTTGTTGTTGTTGTTGTTGTTGTTGTTGTTGTTGTTGTTGTGTTCATGTGCCTGTGTGTGTGTGTGTGTGTGTGTGTGAGAGAGAGAGAGAGAG